CAAACCATAAATCGTATTGTATTAATATAATATCCAAGATTTTTCAGTAAATTTGTAAACAAATTTAAAAACACTTCAAAATGTGCCAGAAAGTATGCAACATTTCTCGAATATTATATTTTTCAAACTTTCTATTTCAGTTATTAATAAAAGTTCAAAAATTATTGCAATTTTTATAAATTTGTTAATAAATAATATTTAATGCCTCAATAAAGATTTACCTCCCAGTTTTCCCCAGTGCATTAGAGCCGGGCTAGGAAATATTGTGGGGACACCGCTGTACCAAAGCGTGACAGGCATGAATTAACAATTTGAATTAATGTCAGTTACTCATGGCATGGCTGCTGCTCCAAAGACCCAAGTGCGATGGCAAGGAGAGGTGGGGCTGTGGATTGAGTGGGCGCCCTCGTTTTTAGTTCGCCTTTAGTTGCACTTACTAATTTCTGACTACGACTGGCATTGATCTTTGCATTGTCCGTCCGCCGGCGGCCACAAAATGAAAGGAAAAGTAAGTTACGATTTTACGTTAGAGCAGCGTTATAACGTTAACCAGAGGGAAAGGTAATTGCGATTTGGCCAAAAAAAAACAAAAAAAAAGACATAAAAAGGGAAAGGAAATGTTTCCTGCGCTGTGATTTTTGCTTGGCCAAGTGTCAAAAATGTGGCAGTCCCCCCTTTGGTTTTTGATGGTGGGACAAAGAATGGCTATTTGGGAATGAGAGTGATGAGGGGGGAAAACCGAGACTGGAACCCGGCTGAGCTGGCGCCAAATTAACCGGAAATGTCACAATGGCAATGGGCGACGTGCGGCCCGCTGCCCGTTTTGGAAATTATACAATTTTGTCACGTGACGTGCATTAGAAAACACAGTCACAGAGTCACACAAACACCCAAATACCACCAAGACGTGCCAGACGACAGTCGCGGTCCAAACAACAAAAAAATGCTGGAAAAAAACAAAAAGAAAATACAAGAGAAACGAATCAAACAATTAAAGGCCGACCAGATTATCTAAACATATACTGAAGTTGGGGAAAGGAATTTTAAAGATGATGACCACAAAAAGTATATGCTAGATAAAATTTAATAATAGAAAGAAAACTAAGAACTATTATGTTTCTGGAAGATTTTACCATATTGACTAGTTTTTTGACAATTTTTTGATAATTTATATCTTTCTACATCTTACTTTTATTTTTCCTTTTCAAACCACTTCAATTATTTTCAAATAAGATCTAATACCCTTAAATACAACCCTGGGCAATCAGCCCCATAATTGCAACCAATCCACCCCTGAGTACCCATTAGAAAGTCATAAAAACCAGCACCGCCCCTCACTTAGACGAGTGTGAACCCGTCAAGTCCACTAAATGTCAACTGAACACGCGAAATTCCCCAGCAGGACTTTCACTGGCCAGAGAGTCCTCTTCTGAATCATACGTACTCCTAGGCCAGGCCCTCGAAAAAAAGTTTGGCCAAAACCAAAGTCAATGTTCTCTATGTCACAATGAAGAGGTAGGAAGCAGGGTGGTTAGTTCAAAAAGAGTTGGCCAAGAAGCCGCAAAAGCGCGAGAATATTGGCGGACGAAATGCAAAACCCGCTTTGAAGTCTGAGACCACTGATTTGCCTTCTTTGAGGCCAACTTACTAACTAAACTGCCACTTTGAAGTGGCGTAGTTTTCCCCACCTTAACTCTCTTAACGCACTTTCTTCGTTGGCAGCGTTTTTCCAAATACCCATTCATACCCATACCATTTTCCAGCAAAAGATGGCGGAAATGCTTCAATTTCAAAAGGCGAAAAGCCGCCAAACGATGGAAAGAGATAGCTTGCATGTGCGAGGCTACCACACACATGTGGTGGAAAAAAGTTTTTCCTTAGCTGATTTTCTTCTATATGTTTTTCTTTTTTTCGGGGGTTGAATGTCTAACAAGGGGGAGCACTTTCACTTTTCTTCGCACCCAAGTTTTCGTTTGCCTGTCACAAGGAAACTTTTTTTCTTTTTTTTTTTGCAGACCCTTTTTGATTGGAAGTATTTACGGAAAATAGCGAGGGTGGGATTGTGATAAGGATACATGCCCTCTGGGGTTGCCACAAAACACAATCGTTTTCAAAGCAAATTTTTGGCAATGATTTCTCCTTTGACTGTGAGATGAAAGAGACAGCTCAATGATTATTTCACAAAGCAAGTGACACAACACATAGTAAAGAGTTAGGGAAATTATTAAAAAAAAAAAAAAACGCCCCTTCTAAAGCCAAACTTAAGTAATCCATCTTCGGCAAGTTTCCATGATGTATCACTTGTTCCCCTAACCTATTTTCTAGCCCCAACCACTTGATGAATGATCCATCCGAATAGCATTCAAAATGAATTTAATGTCTAGACTAAAACGAAATTCCCATAAATCTCTGACACACTCGAAGCTTGGAAATGAATTTTCGCTTTTAATTATATACGAATTCATCGCAGCTGACCAGCTACTGTTAAACCGCTAGTCAAGGTCAATCAATGGCGCAGAGAAAACATAAATCCAGCTGTCCATGCCAACCGTTAATGTAATAACTCATGCCACACCGCGACTTGATTATGATTATGAGCCGGGAGTTGAGAGCTCGGCTTTATACAGAAATCCGACTATATGTATGTATGGGCATTCTTCTATATCATTTCTCTGGTCTCTGGGGGTCTCCCAGTCGCATCAAAATCAAATTAGTTCCAAGCGTTGATTTTCTTCTACAGTGTCGGCGCTTCATGCTCGTTGATTTCCAGCTAATTTTTGCGTGTTTTTTTTTTATTATTTTTTATTTTATTTTTTCAAATCGACTATACAATTTCAGACAAGAGCGTAATTATAATGCGAGAAGCGGGCGAACGCATTTATCGCCGCGATCAGCATACATCCGTTTGCCAAGCTGATATAAAGCTTGTAATTACCTAGCTAATTTACATGAATTTCCAAGCGAACATCCTTTTGGCCAGAGACAACCGTTTCGACGGGCAGCTGGAGAAATTTTTCCCAAGAATATTTTTGCAGCAAAGAAAAATAGTTGCAGGAACATTAAATGCACGGAGGAAAATAATGTTGGCTTTCTTAGATATTAACTTTAAAATAAATCATTATTAAATTAATTTTTTTATATGTGAAAATCGTTTATTTTTTAATTTCATTTTCATTTTCTAGACAAACTTCTTACTAAACTATCAACTATTTCTCTTAGTGCCCAACTTTAAGTAGGCTCAGAGAAATGCCAGTTGGCCTGGCCGGGATTGTTGGCTTGGCCTATCAGCTATTTGGCATCATCATCGGCCAGTCTTTTTGGTCTTTTGGCGTGGTCACGTCACAGGGCCATCGCTGTTGACCATCATCATCGGAGTTGGCCATTTCTTTTGGCCAGTCGCTGGACGCGATTGGCAATGATAAAGCCGTCGTGGCCAACAAGTGGCGCATCTTGGTTGTTATTGCATTTGCATGGGGGCAAAGAGAAATTCTTGAAATTTTCCACATATGACACAGGCCACGCCCAGTCGTTGCCATCCGCCCATCCTCCGCTCCTTTTTCTTCATTTCTTTTCTTTTTTTTTTTTTTTTTGTACTTTTGCTGCACAGCAAATGGTCAAATTATTTCCTTTTCCGCATTTTCCACCAAAGCATTCACGCGCACGAAAGGATTTCTTGTAATTTGGCTGTGACTTGAAAAGATGTTGGATGGCTGGAAAATGAAAGAAAAGGGGGCGAGAATGTGGATCTCCATCCCTGGGAAAAGCTGATGAAAGGGATTTTGTGGCTGCTGCCTTTGCTGTTTTGGCGACTTTGCATTTTTTATTTGTAATGATTTTTGCCAGCGCTTTTCGTTTTACGTTTTTTTATATTTTTTTTGTATTTTTATCCTGGAACGGGCTACTGTTTTTGGCGGGTTGTTGTGCGGCTTTTGTTTTAAATAAAAAATAATACAAAAACAGGGAGAGGAATAAAGGCAGGGGCAGCCTCATGACCACGATATGTGTTTCTTTGCTAAAAATGCATATACTCACGTATGTAGAATCGAAAGCACTTAAAGAAAATGTGTTAATTTATAGATTTTTTAAAATTAAAGAAGGTTTTTTAATAACAATGTGAGTCCAAAATATATATAAATCTGTCTTGAATTGTTATTTATAAGAAATTATGAGTATTTTTAAAATCAAAATATATTAAGTTTATGAAATTTCTCCATTTGTAACCACTGAATTTCTCCCAGTGTACCCTTACCCAAGTGCATCTCGGCATGGCAGATTGAGCCCGTTTGTTCAATGAGTGCTGGAGATGGGCTGGATTGGGCTGCTCCTGGGATCCTGGACCGGAATCCTGCATCTGCATCTGCATTATGCACACTCATTACCCTTACTCTATAACCCACACTCCCCCTCTCCTTCTCTCTCTCTCTCTCTCTCTCTTCTCTTTTCGCTTTTCTGTCCCTTTCTGGTCGCCATTATCCTTGTGCGCTCGTTCACTTTCATTTCACATATCGCATGTATATGCTGTTTTTTTATTCCTGGATTTTATACCTCTTTTTTATTTACGTGCCCGTGCCTTACCCTTGCCACTTGAGACATTGCTTTGTTCTGTTTTATGCCACGAAGGGGTTATGAAAAAATATATATCCCGAAAAGCTTTTAGTGTGCATGTGAGAACGCGTCGAAAGCGCAGGCCAAATGCATTTGGATGGTCTCTCAACTTGGAACTAAAAATCCAGGATTCTGGCTACCGCATAGCAACTAAAATGCTGGCGAAATGCGAAAAAGAACTTTTTAAAACTTGTTTAAAAACATTTTAGCAAACAGCTTTAAATTTACAACTCAGTTTAAAATACAAGAAGCCAAGTCTGTGAAGTGGTTTGCCTATCACTTTTCATTGTTCCTTGATTCTCCTTCTCCTAGTATTTTTTTCATAAAAAGCCCAAAACGATCTTAATATGGAATGCCCCACCTCGTTGAGCTTGTCATCTTGCATACTAGACGTGTATTTTTTAGGAACAAAAAGATCCTCTCAAATTTGGTCACATTAAGACACTGTGTTAGCTGATTTATTATTTTCGCAGATTTTGCTTAATAAGAAATCATGCCAAACATCAACAAATTAGGTTTCATCTTAATTTTTCAATGTCATTGATTTAGCTAAAAAAGAATTCCTGTAAAGTGTCAACCGAGTAGGTTTAGTCTTCAGTAGAAATACGAAGAAAATACAACATTTCATCACATCGAAAGTGTTTAGAAACCTAATCCAAAAACGTGGTCTGCTATACGTTGTTGCTGTCATTGCTGTTGCCGTTGTCAGGAGTCCCAGAGTTCCATCAGTCTCACAAGATCACAGAAAAAGGAAAACAAATCAAATGTTTTAAGCTTGTGCTGAGATCATTTTCTGCTAAGATATAAACCACATGCTGGTAATATGAATTCCGATTCGGAGTACTCGGATGAGGATCACGGTGACTCGCATCGATCGCTGCACAGTCACATGAGTTCCGGGAATTTTGACAGTGACAGCGAGGATACCTGCACGGAAATCGTTTTGGCGGACAATAACAATCGGAATCCCGATGCTGATGACTTTCTCTACAAGGTCCTATCGGTGGATCAAATTGTTCAGCATCAACGTAACATCATCGATGAGGTCAATAATGTCTTGAATCTATCACCGCAGGTTACTCGCATCATCCTCAATCACTTTAAATGGGACAAGGAGAGTCTGTTCGAAAACTATTTCGAGAGTAGTCCACAGGATTTCTTTCAGCGCGCCCATGTGGTGAATCCTTTCGAGAGGGGAAGTGAAACGGATTTGGCGAACAACGTATCGGCTTCCTGTTCCTCGCAACAGCTCTGTGGCATTTGCTTTTGTCCCTGCGAGGAACTCATGGGCTTGGGTTGTGGTCATAGCTTTTGTGCTGCCTGTTGGAAACAATACTTGGCCAATAAGGCCTGCAGTGAGGGCCTAGCCAATACGATTAAATGCCCAGCTACAAATTGTGATATCCTAGTGGATTATGTATCCTTCCTAAAACTCGCCGATGATCCAGAAGTTGTGGAACGATATCAGCAGCTCATCACCAATACCTTTGTGGAGTGCAACACTCTGATGAGATGGTGTCCCGCCCCCAATTGCACCCATGCCGTAAAGGCCAATTGTGCGGAGCCACGAGCTGTTCAGTGCAAATGTGGCCATCAGTTTTGCTTTGCTTGTGGCGAAAATTGGCATGAACCGGCCAGTTGCAGTTCGCTCAAGCATTGGCTCAAAAAATGCCTTGAGGACTCGGAGACTTCCAATTGGATTGCCCAGAACACCAAAGAGTGCCCCAAATGCAATGTTACGATTGAAAAGGATGGTGGCTGCAATCATATGGTCTGCAAAAATCCATCCTGCAGATATGATTTCTGCTGGGTGTGTCTGGGTTCCTGGGAGCCACACGGTTCGTCCTGGTACAGTTGCAATCGTTTCGACGAGGAGGAGGCCAAACAAGCCAGGTTGGCCCAGCAAAAGTATCGTTCGTCGATGGCCAGATACTTGCACTACTACAATCGCTATGCCAACCATATGCAGAGCATGAAAATGGAGAACAAATTGTATGCCAATGTCCAGGCCAAAATGAATGACATGCAGGAGGAGATGAGCTGGATTGAGGTTCAGTTCCTGCGCGATGCCGTCGATGTTCTATGCCAATGTCGCACCACTCTGATGTACACCTATGTCTTTGCCTTCTACTTGATGAATAACAATCAGAAGATCATCTTTGAGGATAATCAAAGGGACATGGAAATGGCCACCGAGAAGATCTCCGAGTGTTTGGAGCGGGAGATCACTGTGAAAAATCTCTATGAAGTTAAGCAAAAGGTCTTGGACTTATCACACTACTGCCAAAAGCGACGACATGTCCTTCTATGCCATGTCCGGGAGGGCTACGAAAAGGACTGGTGGGAATTCATTGCGGAGACTTCGAAATAATTATTAGAATCATATAACATCTAAATCACGGCACATGCAACACATGGAGGAAGGAAAGTAAACCGGAAATTTCACTGAAGACTTTTTATATTGACGCAACACAAAATCTCTTTCGGATTCCTGCTCTAGTTGGATCGAATATTAGTCGACTCCTTCTAGAGCCTTCAAAATTTTACAGTTCTTACACAGGAATAGAAAGTAATATAAAAAAAGCAAATCAATATTCCACTCATTGCCTAGCATTTCTCTTTATAGTCTTTAGCGGGTTCTTAAATATGTCTTTTGTAATCTAAACTACGTAATTTTACTTTTTATCTACTTTTACTTTAGTCTTCCATTCAAATAATTTGTATTCCCTTTTTAGTAAGTTAAATATTTGTAAAAATCTGTATAAAGTCTTTAAATTTCTGTTAACATTTCTTGCCAAGTGTAGATCTCTATCTCTATAGCCAGCCCCACTGTTTGCTCTCGTTTGTGGCCCCCTAATATGCGTCTGGCTTTTGTAATTATAACATAAATCAATCCCAATTTCATGTTATAGTTTTCAGCGGAGCAAAGCGATTAATGTCGACAATGGACCAGAGAGATATGGCATGGCAAAAGGAAAATCATAAATAAGCCATATATTGCCATGGCCAATAACGGAATGGAACGAAATGAAAAACCCCACCGACTAAAAGACTGAAAGACCGAAAGACCGTATGAAAAATATTTCCTTATCGCGATGCTTCCCCAAGAGAAACGCCGCCAGGTGCAAAATGAAACGTGTGGATATATCGAAGGTGTTTGGGGAGCGGGAGGGGGTTAGAAACTGGGAACTGGAAAAGCCTTGGCCAATAGATTTACGGCAAACGGCAGCCAAGTCGTGCCTGCCTTGGCTTAGAGTGTGAATTTTCGCACCCGTGATGAAGTTTCCAATTAAATTTTATTGGATTTCAAATTGAGGCTGAGAGACTCAAGTCGCTGATCCGATGCCGATGCCTTTGCCTTTTTAGCTTCGGTTGGCTGGTAAATATTTGCGCACCATTGTTGTGGCAAGTGTTGAAAGTGGGCGGTGCAGTGCTAACCTCCCAGTTCAACCAACCCTCTCTAATCCCCCCTCAAATAATCCTTTCCATCCGCAGAGTGATTTCTTATGGCAGTTCAATTGCGGGGTCATCAACGTGTCAGCATTCGAATTGCAACATTGCGGATGCCGCAGTAGTTGCACCCTGGAGTTGACTAATTTATGAATGCATTGTGGGAACGCCTAGAGAATTGGCAGTTTACATTCCCCGATTGAGGAATCCTTAACAAGGTGAAAGTTTAGACAGTTAACTTTGTTGGGTTGGATAAGGAAGTAATTTGAATACTTTAAATGCTTAAATTTAAGTTACAGTTAAGATTAAATTTTTTTAATTTACATCTCTTCAGTGAACAAGAAAATTTAATAACTCTTTTTTACTTTCAGCTTCTTATAACTTTTATTTCATAAATATAAAAAAAAGAACTCAGGCATCTCTCAATTTACCTCAACAGCTTTAGCATTTTTCCTTTCTTAACTTTAAGCTCTGAGCCTCATCTCTATTTACCTATAATATCGGCTTGGCCATAAGGCAGCAAGTGCCAGTCAACAGTTGGCCTGTTCCTGGCCCTTGGTCTTCGGCTCATTCAACAAGTCAACAAACAAAACACACAGTAGAGAATGGAGAAAATATGATGAGAATAGGGTGGGGGGTTTACAAAAAAAACCTTAGGAAAAAAATCAACCGAAGTCCTTCCGTCGGGGACCTGCTCTAGCTCTGGTCAAGTTGTGCTCAAGTGCGTTCGTATTAATTTTATTTATTGGCCACAAAATCCCAACCGCAGACACTCTGCCCCTTCTTCAGGCTTAACGGTCGGTCCCTCGCTGTCCTGCTCCTGGGCTCTTGGCCTGGCTTATTGAATTTTTATCTACAGTTTGCCTTTGTGCTTATGGCATCTCACTGAATCTTGAATCTCGGCCTGGGCGTTAGCTATTTTTATTATGGTAAATTCATCTTCAGTTTTTTCTACTGCATATTTTTTTTAGCACTGCTCCGAGCGGCAGACACTTGATGTCCTTACATCTGCTTTACAACTTGGTCGCGTACTTTCAATTACGCGCCCTCGTCCTGCCATTGTCCTTGGCCTCTGTCGAAGGTCGGTTAATAGCCGGGCCAACTGACAATGGACCAGGGCCAGAAAGTGTTGTAAGCCAACTGAGATTAGCACCGAAGAAACTGTGTCAATGGCTGGAAGAAATCAATGAACAAGGAAGTCTGGCACTGGATAAGCTTTGTTTAGGTGTCAAAAAGGGATTTTAAATTAACTCAACGAACTTAATGAATGCTTAATAAGCTAATAAAAATTTATGAAAATTTATATAAAATATTTTAGCAATCATAAATAAATGATTATGAGTTTTTCTCTGTATTAGATGCACCTGCTCTTAGTGAAAGACGTTTTATGTAATCCGCGATTGCAGCCAATTTGTTTTTTGCACTTTCTAATGGCTTCCTTTTTATTTCCTATCTGCGGCACATTAGTTGGCCCATTGAGCAACAATGTTGTTGCGTTGGTTGGATCTCTTTGCGCTGATTTTGCGGCCAAGTCATAGCCTTGCAATAAACAATCTGCAGAAGACACTATGTGCACTGAAAAAAAATGCATAAGATGTCGGTATGGTTGCAGTGGGCAAAATACTATATTATTGTGAAAAATTAAAGTTTTCAGATTTTCATACTAGTCTACTGGAAATTCAAATACAAGCTTAACGGGGTTAATATTCGGATCATTCCTAGCATTATTGAATACTAACTTCTTTGGTGAAAAATGACGATGTTGATATTGGCCCAATTGTTCTGTGCAATTAACGACCGAAACAAACTTTCCTCTTCATTTTTGTGATGTTTTTCGAAGAATTATTTTTTGACCAAATTTTTTTTTAGATTTGAATAAAATAAAAGCGGGCCCACGAAAGATTTGAGTTTTAAAATCGCAATAAAAATATTAATATTTCCCAATTGTCGTCGAGCGTAAACTTAGCCATTGACAATAACATTCGAAATGCCAAAGTCAAAATTATCGATAGTTCAAAAAGCAAACCCTACATGGGCCACATAACATATATTCTGACCATTTTTGGCTTAGTTTTGGGGAAATTACGTTTTTTTTAAGGAGGAAAATAAAAAAAAACCAATTTTCGAATTTTTTAAAACAGAAAATTTTTGGAAAAAATTAAAAAAAAATATATGTATATTTTTAAATTTGCATGTCAGGTTAATATAGATAGAAATACAAGCCTAACGAGGTATCACTTCGGATCACTTTTAGCTAGAGGATCACTTAGAGGAAAATACTAATTAACTAAAGTTTGGAAAAATATTTGAATAAATGCAAACAAAATCCGACCTGAAAAACCGTTATTTTTTACATTTTTAAAGAAATTTGAGCTGTGCAGCTCTGGCTATTTGTGGATCTGAATCTAAGGCTGCCTGTGCGACTCCTTGGCCACTTTTTTTTTCGGCCATAGACTAACTCCTCGCACTATCACTTCATCAGCGACGTGAATTTATGAGGCACTTTGCGCAGTCGCCGAGCATCGTTGGCCATAATTTGCCGCCGTCTTGGCTTCTCGGTCTCGTCTATTGGCGAGTGCACAAATTGCGTTGATATGCTGACAGGCGGCGCACAGCGGGTACACGGCGAGAAAATAGTTGGCTCTATTAGCAGACTATTTGCCTACATATATCGCCCGGCAAGTGCATTGAAAATGTTCCGACTTCGAAATACTAAATTGAGGCACGCGCGCAGGCGTTAAAGAGTAAACAAATAAACACCAGTCAGTGGGGCCTACAGAAAAAAAAAAACACAGAAAAAAATGAACAACTTCAATTGAATTTAATTGGCCAACAGCGAGGAGGGGGAAGAGGATGGTCTTTTCGACACTAACTAGCTGTCACATTTCTGTGATGCGCGAGAATTGGAACTCAGATGCGTAAATAAACGGGGAATATCTGAATTTATTAGTTGCCAAACCAAGGGATACTCTTTTGTCTAAAAAATAAACATAGTTAATAAAAGATCAAGCTTAAGTCAAATGAAATTTAAGTTCTAATTAGGAATTGGTTCGGTTTCTTGCATTTCTTCTTGGTAAATCTCATCTTCATGTTTGTCTAATACTCTTTTCGTCAAACTACCTTCTTCAACCCTATATAACCCTCAATGCAGGGTATTTTTAACTTAACTCATCACACAAATTAAACGCATTCCTCAGGCTCCAGCTGGCCTGGCTTCTGTTTTTTCTGCTTATCACTTCGAATCATCATCATCATCATCGTCATTCCAGCCCGGCAAAAAGCCACATCTCGAAAAAAGGTCGTGCCAATTTAATTAAGCGACATTTTATTTAATTATTTCATATATTGATTGCAAAATGTGTAAAGCTTTTAATTGCGAAAAATGACCACAATTCCCCAAACAGCGGGCAGCACCGAAAAACCGGAGCCTCGCATTTCCCATCTCTCTGGATATATATGGTATATATGTGTGTACAAAATATGGGCATCAATAATTTCAATAATTTCGGATTGGAGAAATTGCTGGAATGAAATTGATTTGGCTCGACAGCAGATGCATTTAATGCATTTATATTGCATTTCATTATGCTTATTTCATTTCGTAATGATTGAATTGCAGCGCCCCCAATGATGACTGCCAATAACAATGGACAATTGGACAAATCAAACAGATATACGAGGCTTTTCGGTCTCGTCCTGGTAATATCAGTCTCTTGGTATTCTGTTGTTACACAGGGGGAAATTATGGGAAATTTTATGCGAGAGGGAAGGGAATTTAAAAGGGAATTTTTAACTTCAGAAACATAAATCAATATTTTATTGGCAGAAGTTTAGTTTTTAAAATATTATAATAAATTCTAAAAATTTATTGTGCTAGTCTAGTTTTTTAAACAATTATTTTGAATTATAAAGTTATTAATTATATTTGACAGACAAAGGTAAACGCATTACTTAATCACAAATATTTATGAATAAGCCAATTTACTGGTTGTTAGTACTTCATTTAATTATTTTTTATTGCCTTAAACTTGCAATTAAAATGTACTTTACCCACTTCAACATAGAAGTAATTTCATATTTGTCCAAAATAAATCAAAACTGAACTCATTTAAAATGCATGATGTTAGACTTATTTCGCTGTG